CTTAAATAAGCGACACATGATCTTGTTCTGGACACATCAGGCTGGACTCTGATGCCGGACCTTTTCTAGATAGAAACCAGACTCCTTCTGGACCATGACATCATTCTGACATCATAGGTAGGAGCTAGGCTCAGGCACTAGGCCATAGGCCGGTCAATTCTGGACCCTAGGCCCAGGGCAGGGCTGGGCCAGACTATGACATCATATATGACATCATCGAGCACATGATACTTAGTAATCCTTACCCAGCTAGGTACCAGGGGTCCATTACCGGTCCCTGGGGGGTTTTCCCTCATGTATATAAGGCAGCATCCTGGGGCACCCTGTCCCCCAGTTCTATTCACTTCGTTGTTGCGCTTAACAGCATTACCTCCCCATACTTAAGTGCTATTATCTCCCCCCCTCAATATCAAGCTATAAGGTGGGTTTGTAGGTTTTGTGATACTGACTCGTAGACAATGAGCGAGGGCTTATGGACAGTGCGTCGTCCTGAAGATCGAGCGAGGAAGTCGAGAATGACCACTACCCCAAGCGAAGAGGAGCAGAGACTTGAATGAATAACCAGGTCGAACTTAGGGTTCGACCGACTAATGATACAACTACTTATACAAGTACCGACTACGCGCGCACCATCGTGTCTATGTGGCCATGTTAGTGAAGAAAGAAACATAGTGGTACGATACCCGGCACAAAGTGCGCACAGACCCCATTATGTAAGCTACATAATGTTCAACCTGCGGGTGAGCGCTAAGACAGGCGCCAGTATGGGCACTAGTAGTACAAGGAATAGAACGGAAAGACAAATGTTTCAGGTCCCTAGGGCAGCAGAGGCCGGCTTATATACAGGGGATGTTTAGGGGAGGCTGTGCGCGCTGGTCCGTGTGCAGCTGGTCCATGCGCAGCATGCTGACGCGGCTCCGGGGGCCGGTGAGTCAGAGCGGCTGTGTCAGCAGAGCCCGAGCTGTGCCGCGCACTGCCGTCCTATCTAATCTAATCGTACAGTAGATAGTGACGCGTCCATATCGGGCAAGTAGTACAGAGGACGCGGGTTCGAGCCCACAAAAAGGAAAATTAAAAAAAGGCTAGACGCCGTACCAAGTCGTGACAACATTGGTCCGAAGGATGTGATTGTCGGGTTGGATTGGCTATGAGAGCACAACCCTGAAATTGATTGGGAGACAGGCTCCCTGAAACTGTCATGTTGCCCTGAAATGTGCAGTGCCCAGAAAGCTAACCAAATGGAGCAAGCAGCGACTGTGCATAATACTGTTATGAGTTGGCACAGCGTCTAGCCTTTTTTTAATTTTCCTTTTTGTGGGCTCGAACCCGTGTCCTCTGTACTACTTGCCTGATATGGACACATCATATCTACTGTACGATTAGATTAGATAGGACGGCAGTGCGCGGCACAGCTCGGGCTCCGCTGACACAGCCGCTCTGACTCACCGGCCCCCGGGGCCGCGTCGGCATGCTGTGCACAGACCAGCTGCGCACGGACCAGTGCGCACAGCCTGCCCTTATCTTCCCCTGTATATAAACCGGCCTCTGCTGCCCTAGGGACCTCAGTTTTGACCTCTTGTCCCTAGGTCAGTAAGCCCTCACTTGTATTCTTTCTTACCTCACTAACTAATACATTTTACTTGTCCCTAGCCTTAGGTTTGAGCGTTGCTCACCATCGCTTTGGTAAGATCTAGTCGGACGCCCCCAGCCTTTCAGTTTTCTCCAGTCGCTTGACCTCAAGTTGCGACATTAGGTCGAAACTCCCCAAGCTGCCGGCGTCCCCTCGGGACCTCTTACATCCACTTTCCTTTCCCACAGGTCGGGTGGTGCGCACCCCTACAGTACATTACGATACGTAGATAGCGTACATACATCGCCACCACTTAGGGAACGAACTCTTCAGTACCTGCACTTCAGTGGGCGGTACTTGTCCTCACGGATGCGTGGACTAGGTTCCTGCTGCATAATAGTCAAAAGCAGTACTGGGCCCCACGTGAACTGTGAACCCTAGTGTCTTCTCGGGCGCCGTAGCGTAAGCTAGATAGCACGGCCATTGTAGTACGCGCACCTCCCCATCCTTCCCCCATCCATCGTGGCTGCTTGTCAGGGCCAGATCCACGTGTTCGACTCCCAGGATCTCATCGACGTCTACATCCCAGACGGCCCTGAGACTGTCCTCTATTGTTGCGAGCAGCAGCCGTGCCCAAATCGGACACCCCGATCAATCAAGGAGGATTACCCTCGTTACAAGGCGATCCGGCGAGTGCAACATCCGCTCGGTCCTCGAAGCACCCTTGCATCTCGATCCGCCTCGCGGCACTCTCGCCCTGTCTCCCCCAGCTCCCGCCTCCCTCAAACTGTCGTCGCCGATCCAGGTCAAACGCGAGGAGATCTCCCTCCAGACCCTGCGCCAGAGCCTGAGCCTGAGGAGGGTGAGGGTGAAGAAGGAGTCTCGGAGTCCGAGTCCACGGATTCTGCTCGGCCTGCCTCAATGACAGCGCTCCCCCCCGCGTCAGCAGTCCCTGACGTACGTGACCCCCCCGCCGAACTTTCTCCGGCGCCTTCACCGCCGACTCCGCCAAGAGGCCGCTCGAGCACTCGCTCCTCTCGAAGTTCAACCAGCGGAGGGCCACCACAGCCTCCTCCACCCCCACAGCGTCCTCCGTCCCCCCCGACGCCGATAATGTCGTCCCCCGCAGCCGCCCCCGACAAGGAGACGTTAAAGCTCCTCCTCCCACTCCAATACGATGGCAAAACTGTCATCGAGTGTGACCGGTTCTTGTCACAGCTGCGCATCTACTGGATGGTCAACACGTCATTGACTACCATTGAGCTCAAAGTACAGGTTGCGCTCAGTCTACTTGACGGTGATGCCCGCGCCTGGGCCACCCCCTACTTTGCCCAGCTCGTGTCGGTGCAGATAGGAGTACAAGGGGCCATGACCCCATTTAGAAACGAAGCGGCCTTTGCCGCCGCCTTCAAGGCCCACTTCGGAAATCTCGACGATGAGGCGGTAGCACAAGTAGAGCTGGCAAAGCTCTGCACGGACAAGTCGGTCCGTGAAAAACGCACCGCCGCGGAGTTCTCCGCGCTGTTCAAGGGTCCAGCGGATCGCTCTGGGTATGGGGACCTGGAGCTACGCGACAAGTACCTAAGCGGCATCCCCTCCCGCGTCTACCGAAAGATCGAGCTCGAGACTTTCACCACGTGGCAAGACGCTGACAAGCGCGCCACTGAGGTCGAGCAGATCCTCGACATTAGCCGGGCCCGTCGGCCCGAGCTCAATAACTTCTTCTCGACCCGAGGTCGAGGACGCGGTGGGGCACGTGGTGGTGCACCATCGACGCACGCAGCTTCGGCCAGCATCAATGCGGCCGTCGGAAAAGGAAACTTCCCCGGCACATGCTTTGGCTGTGGGAAGCAAGGGTACCAACGCTTCGAGTGCCCCAATTGTAAGGACAAGCCTTACACAAAACGCGCCGACGCGCGGGCTACGGTTGCCTCGGGCTCCACCCAGGCTGCGACAAGCGCCCCCGTCACGACAACACCCTCGGCAAGTATAAGTGCCGCTTCAGCGAAATCCGAGCAATCGGAGCTGGCGGACTTAATGGCACAGGTGAAGTCGATGCGCGAGGAGCTCGAGCACTATCGAGCGATGAAGGAGGAGGGTTTTTGATCCGGTCCGCGCTTCGTGCCGCACGCGTCGGGCCGCGAGTATCATGTAACAAGTACCTGTGACGTGTGCAACCGTACCAAGACATTCCCAGCCAAGCCCCAGGGTCTGCTGAAGCCGAACGAGATCCCCGAGCACCCATGGCAGATCATCACAACCAATATGATCATTGGCTTGCCAAAGTCTGATGGATTCGATTCGATCCTGGTCACTGCCGACCGCTTTACCAAGCAGGTCCACTTCTTGGTCTGTCATGAAACCCTGACGGCAGAAGGTGCGGCAGACCTGTACATCTGCGATGTGTTCAAGCATCATGGGGCCCCGGCCAAGGTCATATCAGACCGAGGCCCCCAGTTTGCTTTGAAGTATCTCCATGCGGTGTACAAGGGACTAGGGATCGAGCCGGCGCTGTCTACAGCGTTCCACCCTCAGACGGACAGCCAGACTGAGCACTGGAATCAGGAGATCGAGCAGTACCTGCGCGCTTTCACAAGCCACTGGCAGGATGATTGGGCAAGGCAGTTGCCGCTCGCGGAGTTTGCACTAAACAACCGAGTTCACTCCGTGACCGGGCACTCCCCTTTCTTCCTGCATCAAGGGTACAATCCTAAAATCCAAGTGCGGATCAATCCAATGTCGGCAATGCCCACGGCCGCTGATCGGCTCAAGATCCTGAAGGAGATTCGCGACGATACACGCTCTGCACTTGAGCTATCTGTCACGACTTGGTACGGCGCCCAGCCGTTTTTTTAATTTTTTCCTTTTCGCGGGCTCGAACCCGCGACCTCTGTACTACCTGCCTGATACGGACACGTCGTTATCTACTGTACGATTAGATTAGATAGGACGGCAGTGCACGGCACAGCTCGGGCCCCGCTGACGCAGCCGCTCTGACTCACCGGCCCCCGGAGCCGCGTCGGCATGCTGCGCACAGACCAGCTGCGCACGGACCAACGCGCACAGCCTGCCCTAAATCTTCCCATGTACATAAACCAGCCTCTGCTGCCCTAGGGACCTCAGTTTCGACCTCTTGTCCCTAGGTCAGTAAGCTCCCCTGTACTTACTTCTTTTACTTACTAACTAATACATTCTTGTCCCTAGCCTTAGGTTTGAGCCTAGCTCACCATCGCTTCGGTAAGATAAGTCGAACGCCCCCAGCGTTTGGTTTTCCCCTGTCGCTCGACCCTAAGTCGCGACATTAGGTCGAAACTCCTCAACGCTGCCGGCGTTCCAAAACAAAAACACTCATCTTTCCTCTCCCATAGGTTGGGTGGTGCGCACCCCTACTATACCCTACGATACTTAGATAGCCTACGATACATCGCCACCACTTAAGGGACGAACTCTTCGGTATCTGCACTTCAGTGGGCGATACTTGTCCTCACGGACGCGTGGCTTAGGTTCCTGCTGCATACTAGCCAAAAGCAGTACTGGGCCCCATGTGAACTGCGAACCTTAGTGTCTTCTTGGGCGCCGTAGGTGTAAGCTAGCTAGCACGGCCTTTCGTAGCACGCGCACCTCCCCTTCCTCCCCCCATCACCGTGGCTGACGAATTCTTCGACTGCTCTCGACTTGAGCACGCCTTCGACACCCAGGAGCAGGTCGACGTCTCTCGTGACGACCCGAAAAGCGACGGAGACAAAGCTCCTTTCTTCATCTGCGATCGACAACCGTGCCCTAATCGCACCCCACGGTCCATCACTGTTGACGAAGGACACTTCGTACCAATCCGACGGGTCCAACATCCCCGCGGCCCTGCACTCCGGTACGCTGGTACCTCGAGATCTACATCTCGCCACGTCACTCCCGTCCCATCCCGACCTGCCTCGCCAGGCACCCGCATCCCCCAACCTGTCGCCAGTACAGGTCAAGCGCGAGGAGATCCCTATCTCCCTCGAGGAACTGAGGCAGTCGCACAGCCTTCAGCGACCCCTCAAGCGATCCCCCAGCCCTCCTTGGGGCCACGGCTGGAAAGGCCTCCCAAGACCGAGTCCCGCGACACTCCGCCGCATTCTTGGGCCAGCTCGTCGTCAGCGGTCACCGCCTCGACTTCAGTCCCTGTCCTACGTCACCCCGCCTCCAGGCTTCCTCAACCGGCTTCACCGCCGTCGCCGCCGCGAGGCCGCTCAAGCACTCGTTCCTCGAGAAGTTCGCCCGGCGGACAGTCACAACAGTCGCCTCCGTCCGCGGGCAGTCCTTCGTCCCCCTCGTCGCCGATAATGTCGTCCCCCCCTGCAGCCGTCCTCGACAAGGAGACATTGAAACTCCTCCTGCCCCTCCGATACGATGGCAAAACCGTCATCGACTGCGACAGGTTCTTGTCGCAGCTACGCATCTACTGGATGGTCAACACGTCGTTGACCACCATCGAACTCAAGGTGCAGGTCGCGCTTAGCCTGCTCGATGGAGATGCCCGCGCCTGGGCCACTCCTTACTTCGCCCAGCTCGTATCAGTGCAGATAGGGGTGCAAGGGGCTACGACCCCGTTCGCAAACGAAGCGGCCTTTGCCGCCGCCTTCAAGGCCCGCTTCGGAAATCTCGACGACGAGGCGGCAGCACAAGTAGAGCTGGCGAAGCTCTGCGCGGACAAGTCGGTCCGTGAAAAACGCATCGCTGCGGAGTTCTCCGCGCTGTTCAAGGGTCCGGCGGACCGCTCTGGGTATGGAGACCTGGAGCTACGCGACAAGTACCTAAGCGGCATCCCCTCCCGCGTCTACCGAAAGATCGAGCTCGAGACTTTCACCACGTGGCAAGACGCTGACAAGCGCGCCACTGAGGTCGAGCAGATCCTCGACATTAGCCGGGCCCGTCGGCCCGAGCTCAATAACTTCTTCTCGACCCGAGGTCGAGGACGCGGCGGGGCACGTGGTGGTGCACCATCGACGCACGCAGCTTCGGCCAGCATCAATGCGGCCGTCGGAAAAGGCAACTTCCCCGGCACATGCTTTGGCTGTGGGAAGCAAGGGTACCAACGCTTCGAGTGCCCCAATTGTAAGGACAAGCCTTACACAAAACGCGCCGACGCGCGGGCTACGGTTGCCTCGGGCTCCACCCAGGCTGCGACAAGCGCCCCCGTCACGACAACACCCTCGGCAAGTATAAGTGCCGCTTCAGCGAAATCCGAGCAATCGGAGCTGGCGGACTTAATGGCACAGGTGAAGTCGATGCGCGAGGAGCTCGAGCACTATCGAGCGATGAAGGAGGAGGGTTTTTGATCCGGTCCGCGCTTCGTGCCGCACGCGTCGGGCCGCGAGTATCATGTAACAAGTACGATGTATTGTCTTCTGCAATGGTGTACGAGTTGGACCAGGGGTCCCAGCACTTTCACATTCCAGTAAGACTTCAAGGGAAAAGACGGCACAAGGACGTAATCGCCATGGTGGACAGCGGAGCCACCACGAAATTCATCAACAAGCGATTCATTGAAAAGAATAAGGTGCAGACGCGGAAACTAAAAGAGCCGATTCCGCTCTACAATATCGACGGCACCCTGAATAAAGATGGAAGCATCTCGGAAGTAGCTGTGCTACAGATGCACATAGGAGAACACGTCGAGAAGACGGTGTTTACGGTCACGGACATCGGTCCAGAGGATGTGATCGTCGGGTTGGATTGGCTACGCGAGCACAACCCCGAAATAGATTGGGAGAAGGGCTCCCTCAAATTGTCGCGATGCCCTGAAACGTGTAGCGCCAGGAGGACTGGCCGAATGGAGCAAGCAACGACTGCGCGTGATACGGGGGTCAGGCCCACGGCGCGCAGACGTTCGCCGAAGTCCAAACGGTCGGTTATAGGGGCCTGCCGGAGTAAGGTGCTCCCGGACTTCGAACCCGAAGGAGATCCGGTGGAGGTAGAGTGGGACGAAACCGATTTGATCGAAGCCTGGGAGCAAGGTGTCACGCTTCCCGGCGCTCCTCAGCTGTTCGTCGCCGCAGGACATACGTACTCCCAGCTGTTCGCTGAGGAGGAGATCAAAAAGAAGGTCGTTAAGACTGCCGAGGAGTCAGTGCCCAAGCAGTACCACGAGTTCCTGAATGTCTTCTCCAAGGAAGCATCAGAACGGTTACCTGAAAGGAAGCCGTATGATCACGCAATCGAACTCGTGCCCGGCTACTCCACGTTCCACTCGAAAGTGTACCCCCTGTCAAACAACGAGCAGGAGGAGCTTGACAAGTTCCTCAAGGAGCAACTAGCGAAGGGCTACATACGGGAATCGAAGTCGCCCATCTCGTCCCCCTTCTTCTTCATCAAAAAGAAGGAAGGGACGCTTCGACCCGTGCAGGACTACCGCCGATTGAACGCGATCACGGTCAAAAATCGTTATCCCTTGCCGTTGATCGCCGAAATGGTGGACAAGCTCCGTGGCGCTACGCTCTTTACGAAGTTCGATGTCCGATGGGGATACAACAACGTCCGGATCAAAGCCGGTGACGAGTGGAAGGCGGCCTTCGTGACCAACCGGGGACTGTACGAACCCCTGGTGATGTTCTTTGGCCTCACTAATTCCCCCGCGACCTTCCAGGCCATGATGAACGAGATCTTCCACGACCTCATTGTCGGCGGCAAGATCCTTGTGTACCTAGATGACATACTTATCTTCTCCACCAACAAAGAGGAGCATGAAAAGGTCACACGCGAGGTTCTGCGTCGCCTTCAGGACAACGATCTGTTCCTGAAGCCTGAGAAGTGCAAGTGGGACGTTCCCAAGGTCGACTACGTCGGCTATGTGTTCGGTGGCGATGAGGTGGCGATGGATCCCGCGAAGCTGAAAGGAATCAATGAGTGGCCGGTGCCCCGGAACAAAAAAGACGTTCAGAAGTTCCGGGGGTTCTCCAATTTCTACCGCCGCTTCATTAAGGACTTCGCTAAGATCTCGCGACCACTCGACCGACTCACAGGGAACGACCCATGGCATTGGGGCGAAGAAGAGCAGCACGCCTTCGATGAGCTCAAGCGGCTCTTCGCGACGACTCCAGTCTTGGCGCTGTACGACCCTAATCGGGAGACGCGCATTGAGGTTGACGCCTCGGGGTACGCCACTGGCGGCGTGTTGATGCAGAAGCAGGATGACGGCAAATGGCATCCCATCGCCTTCAGATCACATGCGATGGACCCGGCGCAGCGGAACTACGAGATCTACGATAAGGAGATGCTCGCGATCATTGAGGCGCTAGACGATTGGCGCCACTACCTCGAGGGGTTACCCAATCAGTTCGAGATCGTAACCGATCATAAGAACCTCGAGTACTGGCGTACATCCCAGCATCTCACGCGCCGTCAAGCGCGATGGTCGCTGTTCCTGGCTCGCTTCGACTTCCGCATCACGCACAAAGCCGGGACGTCCAATGGAAAGGCTGATGCCCTGTCGCGCCGATCAGACCATCAGATCGGCGATGAGGACGATAACACCGATCAGGTGGTTCTCAAGCCAGAGCGCTTCCGCATCGCCTCCGCCCGGCGCGGTCATGCCTCGGTGACGGCCGATCAGTCGCTTCTGAAGCGCATCAGGGAATGTTCGGAGAAAGATCGGGAGGTAGCCGAGGCACTTGAAAAGGTACAGGACCTCGGGCCGCCCCGGCTGCAAAGGGGTTTCGAGGAGTGGAATGCCGAACAAGGGCTTCTGCTGTTCCGTGGGTGCGTGTACGTCCCAAAGAACACGGAGCTCCGGCGGGATATCGTTAAGATCCACCACGACTCGCCGATCGCTGGTCATGGTGGTCGCGCCAAAACCCTGGAGCTCGTGTCGCGGAATTACTGGTGGCCTGGGATGTCCAAATTCGTCAATGAGTACGTGAGCACCTACGACGTGTGCAACCGTACCAAGACATTCCCAGCCAAGCCTCAGGGCCCGCTGAAGCCGAACGAGATCCCCGAGCGCCCGTGGCAGATCATCACCACGGATATGATCGTTGGCTTGCCGAAGTCTGATGGATTCGACTCGATCCTGGTTACCGCCGACCGCTTTACCAAGCAGGTCCACTTCTCGGCCTGTCATGAGACCCTGACGGCGGAAGGTGCGGCTGACTTGTACATCCGCGATGTGTTCAAGCATCATGGGGCCCCGGCCAAGGTCATATCAGACCGAGGACCCCAGTTTGCTTCGAAGTATCTCCATGCGGTGTACAAGGGTCTGGGAATCGAGCCGGCGCTGTCCACAGCGTTCCACCCTCAGACGGACGGCCAGACTGAGCGCTGGAATCAGGAGATTGAACAGTACCTGCGTGCTTTCACAAGCCACAGGCAGGACGATTGGGCGAAGCAGCTGCCGCTCGCGGAATTCGCACTGAACAACCGAGTTTACTCCGCAACCGGGCACTCCCCTCTCTTCCTGCATCAGGGGTACAATCCTGAGATCCAAGTGCGGATCAATCCGATGTCTGCGATGCCTGCGGCCGCTGATCGGCTCAAGATCCTGAAGGAGATTCGCGACGACACGCGCTCTGCGCTCGAGCTGTCAGCAGAGCGCATGAAGGTGTACTACGATAAGCACGTGCAGGAGGCACCGGTCTTCGCGCCGGGGGACAAGGTCTGGCTTGACGCTCGGAACCTTAAGCTGAAACAGCCGAGCAAGAAGCTCAGTCCCAAGCGCCTCGGACCTTATGCCGTGCGGCGAAAGCTCGGAGACCTGGATTACGAATTAATCCTGCTGAAGTCGGTGCCGGTGCATCCGGTATTCCATGTCTCCTTGCTGAGCAAGTACACGCGTAGCGATATCCCGGGCCGGGAGCCGGAGGAACCACCTGCGATCGAGGTTGAGGGCGACGAGGAGTACGAGGTTGAGCGGATCAAGGATTCGCGGATCTTCCGGCGTCAGCTGCAGTACCTCGTCAAGTGGAAGGGTTATGACGACTCGCATACGTCATGGGAACCGGCGCGCAACGTTACCAATGCGCCGGCCCTCATAGCCGATTTCCATCGGAAGAATCCGAACGCCCCTCGCCGTCTCAACGCTGTCACTTTTGGTGGTCTCAACTTTCAGCCAATGCCTTCGCCGCTGACTGAAGCACGCTGCCACTCTGGATGGGAGATGGGCAAGGGCGCCTCGCATGAGGTCATGCGCCGTTGAGGGGGGGGTAATGTCACGACTTGGTACGGCGCCCAGCCGTTTTTTTAATTTTTCCTTTTCGCGGGCTCGAACCCGCGACCTCTGTACTACCTGCCTGATACGGACACGTCGTTATCTACTGTACGATTAGATTAGATAGGACGGCAGTGCACGGCACAGCTCGGGCCCCGCTGACGCAGCCGCTCTGACTCACCGGCCCCCGGGGCCGCGTCGGCATGCTGCGCACAGACCAGCTGCGCACGGACCAACGCGCACAGCCTGCCCTAAATCTTCCCATGTACATAAACCAGCCTCTGCTGCCCTAGGGACCTCAGTTTCGACCTCTTGTCCCTAGGTCAGTAAGCTCCCCTGTACTTACTTCTTTTACTTACTAACTAATACATTCTTGTCCCTAGCCTTAGGTTTGAGCCTAGCTCACCATCGCTTCGGTAAAATAAGTCGAACGCCCCCAGCGTTTGGTTTTCCCCTGTCGCTCGACCCTAAGTCGCGACATTATCAGCCGAGCGTATGAAGGTGTACTATGATAAGCACGTGCAAGAGGCACCGGTCTTCGCGCCGGGGGACAAGGTCTGGCTTGACGCTTAGAACCTTAAACTGAAACAGCCGAGCAAGAAGCTCAGTCCCAAGCACCTTGGACCATATGCCGTGCAGCAAAAGCTTGAAGACTTGGATTACGAATTAGTCCTGCCAAAGTCGGTGCCGGTGCACCCGGTGTTCCATGTCTCCTTGCTTAGCAAGTACACGTGTAGCGATATCCCAGGCCGGGAGCCGGAGGAGCTGCCTGCAATCGAGGTTGAAGGTGACGAGGAGTACGAGGTTGAGCAGATCAAGGACTCGAGGATCCTCCGGCGTCAACTACAGTACCTCATCAAATGGAAGGGTTATGATGATTCGCATACGTCATGGGAACCAGCGTGCAACGTTGCCAATGCGCCGGCCCTCATAGCCGATTTCCACCGGAAGAATCCAAACGCCCCACGTCGCCTCAACACTGCTACCTTTGATGGTCTCAAATTTCAGCCAATGCCTTCGCTGCTGACTGAAGCATGCTGCCGCTCCGGATGGGAGATGGGCAAGGGCGCCTCGCATGAGGTCATGCGCCGTTGAGGGGGGGGGGTATTGTCACGACTTGGTACGGTGTCTAGCCATTTTTTAATTTTTTCCTTTTCGCGGGCTCGAACCCGCGACCTCTGTACTACTTGCCCGATATGGACGCGTCACTATCCACTGTACGATTAGATTAGATGGGGCGGCAGTGCACGGCACAGCTCGGGCTCTGCTGACACAGCCGCTCTGACTCACCGGCCCCCGGAGCCGCGTCAGCATGCTGTGCACGGACCAGCTGCACACGGACCAGTGCGCACAGCCTGCCCTTATCTTCCCATGTATATAAGCCGGCCTCTGCTGCTCTAGGGACCTCAGTTTTGACCTCTTGTCCCTAGGTCAGTAAGCTCCTATGTATCCTTACTTACCCTTTACTAACTAATACATTTCTTGTCCCTAGCCTTAGGTTTGAGCCTAGCTCACCATCGCTTCGGTGAGATCCAGTCGAACGCCCCCCGCTTTCAGACATTCCCCTGTCGCTTGACCTCAAGTCGCGACAGATGTCCATAACCGTAAAGACCGTTTTCTCCTTGTGGTCTCTGATCTGCATCTCGATAATGGCTACCTCCAAGATGCTGCCATCTTTGTTTAGGGTGCCATCAATATTGTATAGCAGAATCGGCTCCTTTAGCCTCCGCGTCTGCACCTTGTTTTCCATAATGAATTGCTTGTTAATGAACTTTGTGGTGGCTCCGCTGTCCACCATAGCGATTATGTCCTTGTGCCATCTTTTTCCTTGTAGTCATACTGGGATGTGAAAATGCTGGGACCCATGGTCCACCTCATACACATTTGCAGAAGATAATACAGCATAGCAATTACTAGATACAGCCGGCCCACGTGTGGCACGAAGCATGGACTGGATCAAAAAGACTCCTCTTTGAGCGCTCGATAGTGCTCCAACTCCTCGCGTATTGATTTCATCTGTGCTATTAAGTCCGCCAGCTCAGAACTATCCGATTTCGCTGAAGTGGTGCTTGTACTCGCCGAGGATGAAGCGACAGGGGCGCTTGTTGCAACCTGGGTGGAACCCGAGGCAACCGTAGCCCACGCGTTGGCGCGTTTTGTGTAAGGCTTGTCCTTACAATTGGGGCACTCGAATTGTCGGTACCCTTGCTTCCCGCAGCCATAGCAACTGCCAGGGAAGTTTCCTTTTCCGACGGCTGCATTGATGGTGGCCAAAGCTCCGTGTGACTGGGGGGCACCACCACGTGTCCCTCCGCATCCCTGACCTCGAGCCAAGAAGAAGTTGTTCAGCTTAGGCCGACGGGCCCGGCTGACGTCAAGGATCTGTTCGACCTCAGTGGTGCGCTTGTCAGCTTCCTGCCATGTGGCAAAGGTCTCGAGCTTGATCTTGCGATAGACATGGAAGGGAATGCCGCTCAGGTACTTGTCACGGAGTTTCAGGTCCCCATACCCAGAACGGTCTGCCGGACCCTTGAACAGCGCAGAAAATCCTGCGGCGGTACACTTCTCATGCGTGGTTTTGTTGGCACAGAGCTTGGTGAGCTCTACCTGTGCTGCGGCAGCATCGTCGAGGTTGCCAAAACGGGCCTTGAATGCCATAAGGAAGGCCGTTTCGTCAGCGAAGGGTGTTGTTGCTCTCTGAGTCCCAATCTGGACAGCGGAGAGCTGGGAGAAGATAGGCGTGGCCCAGGTTCGTGCGTCACCATCGAGAAGGCTGAGGGCAACTTGGACCTTCAGCTCGATGGTGGAGAGGGTCATATTAACTGCCCTGTCACGAGTTGGTACAGTGTTTAGCCGTTTTTTAAATTTTTTCCTTTTCGCGGGCTCGAACTCGCGACCTCTGTACTACATGCCTGATATGGACGCGTCATTATCTACTGTACAATTAGATTAGATGGGGCAGCAGTGCATGGCACAGCTCGGGCTCTGCTGACATAGCCGCTCTGACTCACTGGCCCCCGGGGCTGTGTCAGCATGCTGTGCATGGACCAGCTGCACATGGACCAGTGCACACAGCCTGCCCTCATCTTCCCCTGTATTACAGCTGGCCTCTGCTGCCCTAGGGACCTCAGTTTTGACCTCTTGTCCCTAGGTCAGTAAGCCTCTCTTGTATTCTTTCTTACCTTAACTAATATATTCACTTGTGTCACAGTTTCCCTAATTTTACCTAATTTTTCCGCTATTTCTGCGGACATATCAAAGGGTATAGGGACTTATCCATACTTATCCGTCCGCATATGGGTACATCTGCATATCTAAGGGGTTATCCGCTTAAATAAGCGACACATGATCTTGTTCTGGACACATCAGGCTGGACTCTGATGCCGGACCTTTTCTAGATAGAAACCAGACTCTGTCTGGATCATGACATCATTCTGACATCATAAATAGGAGCTAGGCTCAGGCACTAGGCCATAGGCCGGTCAATTCTGGACCCTAGGCCCAGGGCAGGGCAGGGCCAGACTATGACATCATATATGACATCATAGAGCACATGATACTTAGTAATCCTTACCCAGCTAGGTACCAGGGGTCCATTACCGGTCCCTGGGGGGTTTTCCCTCATGTATATAAGGCAGCATCCTGGGGCACCCTGTCCCCCAGTTCTATTCACTTCATTGTTGCGTTTAACAGCATTACCTCCCCCACACTTAAGTGCTTTATCTCCCCCCCTTACCATCAAGCTATAAGGTGGGTTTATAGGTTTTGTGATAACTTGTCCCTAGCCTTAGGTTTGAGCCTAGCTCACCATCGCTTCGGTAAGATAAGTCGAACGCCCCCAGCATTTGGTTTTTCCCCTGTCGCTCGACCTTAAGTCGCAACAGAGGGGGTGCTGAACTCGTCAGATGGGGACAAAGTGTCTGTCTTCAACAGTGATGGAGTGTGGGGTTTGATTGGGGCATGGCTGTCTGTCACAGTCGAAGAAGAGGGCATCTGGATCATCTAGGTGTGCGATGTTGCCGTGATC